TAGGTACATCTGCATTTGTGCAGCTGCCCTAGACTATATGAAGGTGAGTACAGTGTGTCACAAAGCTAGCTATGTGATGCTAAAAATCTCCATCACACAGAGGCACGTGATAAGTAGTCTGCACTGACAGATTCCAGGAGCATTATAAGGATATCATCAACACAAGAGTGAATAAGATAGCAGTGATACTAGAAGTCCCCATCTCGACTTTGAATGTGGACTACGAACTACGAACATATGGCTCCATACAGGGCCATATGTTCAGTAGCCTGCACTGACAAATTTTGGGTGCATTATGAGGATATCTTCAAGAACACGAGAGTGAATAAAGTAAATGCAAAGCTTTAGGTACCTCATGCCAACGGGTCTGAATGATCTAATAACTGGGCATTCGGTAATGTAGTGTGGGAGCGTGCTGATGTGTTGTGGTATGCCACAGAGGAGCTGCCTCGTATGGGCCAATAGGCCTTCTGCAGTTACCTTTGTTCTTATGTTCTTATTTCTCTACACGTGCCAGGCAGTCTACACACTCCTACCACCCAGCCTCTTTGTCAAGGCTTCAGTCATCTATACACACTCACAGTATACTTGGTCCTTCGACGTGACTCAGCGCCATCCGTCACTTCACCTGAAGACTTGCTTTACCTTAAACTCCTGCTCTCGAACATATCGGATATGTTGCTGGAACTCGAGTTGAAGCTATGAAGAGAGAACTGGGGCACGTTTCTGCCGGAGATACCTGGTCAGCCTGGCTGTGATGGCTATGTAGGCCTTTAGGCTACAAAGGCAAAGAGCCTCAACGCCCTGGTTGTGATGGCTCTGTAGGTCTTTGGGCTAAGAGAGACAGACAGCTTCACAGACCTGGTAAACACCAGGGAGTAGGACTCTTGAAATCCTCAACAGATAAGAGTCTACGTTGCTTTTATTGTGCGGGTTATCGTCCACTTTTATATATCAAATAATTGTTCAGTAATTGAATTTGATTATTTTTGCTGGAAAGTGAAGCAGCAACTAGATGCGCTGTCGACAACAGCACAATACTCGACCCATCCTCAGGGTATGCTCGTCCAAGCTGCGCCCGCCACCAAAGGCGCATTTATGAATTTATCCGTATCAGTAATTGCAAATGAAATATTTTGTCGTGTGTCAGTGTATATATTACTGTTGTTCGTAGTCGGGCCAGGGGTTGTGCCGTGTGAAGTACGTGGGTGAAGTCCTGCGAGAGAGGTGCAGTTCGAACATAGGAAAGGAACAAGGCACTTCGAGAAAAGTTCGAACGTAAACAATTGAGTTTCGTGTATTTAGTACACGAAATAGCTTAGTGGCGTTGTGAACGTTCGAGAGAACGGGTTGGGCAGAGAGGCAGAAGTTGGAGAAAGCAGGCTAGAAGAGAGGGCAGGACTAAGGCAAGAAAGCCAGGTGAGAAGGAAGCGTGAGAGGAAGGTAATACCATGTGTGATCCAGCAGTGCTCCAGGTGAACCATCACAACCTGCTCTCCCGCCATTTGTCACTGTAAACAAAAGAAAAGCTTTTGTTTAACCACATACGTACCAACCCAAGCAAGCCAGCTTCAACCTCCTACCAGCGAGCATAAGAAATATTGCCGGAACAACCGTGGACGTCTTCAAGAGAAAACTAGACTGTTTTCTAAAAGAAGTTCCGGACCAAGCGGACTGGGGTGGGTATGTGGGCCTTCGGGCTGCTCCAAACAACAGCCTGGTACCCTATCCAGGTCGATTCATTGAAAATGTCAATAATACAAATATACTTCAATATATACAAATCCGTCGATTTGTATTAATGATTATTAGATTCCGTAAAATAAAAGCTATGGATTAGGAGAGGATGGGTGCAAGTTGGATGTGTTCAATAGCACCAGTACCGGGAGGTCTCCCAGATCACCCAAAAAAATAGGAGGACGGCCAGTAAACCCGACCAGTCATCATGGGTGTAAAGCCTACCCCGGCTAACATCTGTCGGAACACGTTTTTAACGCTGGTAAATTGTCCCTTGACGAGGCAGACACGTGCACTCTGTTGGATGAAGCGCCGCTCTCAACGTTGGCATATTGTATTGTGGAGATGGGAGGGGGTGGAGGCCGTGCCGGACTCTACAGTGATGCAAGGACAGTACTAGTTTAGGGAGAGGTATTCTCTGCTGGCACTCTTGTCAAGGGAGAAATTAAATTATGGCTTCATGGTGGTACTTACCTAGTTGTACATACCTAGTTGTGCTTGCGGGGGTTGAGCTCTGACTCTTTGGTCCTTATGTTGTACAGCGTTAGCCCTTGATTATAGAATATTAATATATATTATTACTTTATAATGTACTATGCTCTCAATGGATACAGTCAAAGCACATGTGTTATAATTAAAATGCGTTTTTATAATTAAAATTTAATTGTTAATTAAACTTCAATCACATAAAATGTAATTATAATGGAAATATAATTATATTCATTTTTAATATAATTATAGTAAGTATAATAGTATCTGAATTTAACTAATAATTATACAATAATTATAATCATAATATTATTCACAAATGTTCATATTTCGATAACAACTTGCAAAAGACTTGGATAATTTGTCATTGAATAATATGAAACAAAGAAACAGTATATTAATAACTTTAATCATTACTATAATCTGCTTAGTTACAGATGACTAGTACATCATTACCTACGAGTGTGCCAGTACAGCTGTAATGGCCCTCAAGCTGCTGGACATTACAGTGAAAAGTTTGTACCAAACAATAATGACCACCTGGTACAGTTTGAACAGTAAATATTTACAAAACCATCAACTGTAATAATTACAGCAGTGGTCTACGTGTTCCACTCAAGACAAATCGTTCAATCTTCCTCCCCCCCATTAGGCGGAAGTTGTTGGGCAGGTTTCTTGTAATTTTAGTTTCTTTACTGCAGGAGTTAGGTAGCTGTTGTGGGTTGCATCGTGGAGGTGGTTCAGTTGACCTAGGGGGAAGAAGAGAAGTTTAGGTACAGGTTTATCTTAGTCTCCCCTACAATGGGGCTTGATAGTACACCAGACAGCTCTGTCACCTGACCTGATCACATTGAAATTGAAATCATTTTATTGAGGTATAAATGCACACAAAGGGATGAGGCGCTGCTACAATGTTACTTGGTAATTTGTCCCACACATCACCAAGCCTATTTTCTAATCATTACTTGTTTTTTTTCTAAATGTAAACAAATTTTGTGTGCATTCATTATATCGGGTTCTATCCCAGGTTCATAGCTTTAAATTCCTCGTTAAACATTTTTATCAAGTTCATTTTTAAGTTCATCAAATATTTTTTAGGGGAAAATGCACGCTTGACGTTACTGGTAGCCTCTTGGTGTTAAGCTGAAAAGACAAAGTGTCCCATGAATAACGTCCATTTTCTTCTGTGTGGATGAACAACGTTTTCTTTTATGGCTTTTAGCGCTAACTTAGCCAAAGAGGCGGTATGCACTGATAATAATTAGTTGTCCAGGAACAGGCAGCCAGTGTCTTTTTATACACGTTAGGCTTATATCGAAGCCCCTTCCCCTCCCCTTCCGAGGTCGAATTAAAGACCTTCTCAGAATACAACCCCACAACAAGTGCTCGAGTCCCGCGTACCTATTTATTGCTAGGTGAACAGATGGATTAGGTGAAGGAAATGTGCCTAACAATTTGTGTCCGGCGCTGGAATCGAACTCGGGATCCCCGATTGTCTCTCAACAGTATGATGGACGTATGTCGATACACAAAATATTGCCGTGCATAATTTTTTTTTGTAGTTTATGCTTTTATTTTGGGCCTAGTATGTTATCGACGGAGATAACCTTAGTTACATACATAACGAGATATAATAATTACCAATTATAATTTATATATATATATATATTTATTTATATATATATATTTATTTATATATATTATTTATAGTTATTTATTATTTTTTTTATTTATAGTTATTTATTTATTATATTATTTATATATAGTTATTTATTTATATATATATATATATATATATATATATATATATATATATATATATATATATTATATAATTTATTTTACAGGTTGTGTATATAACTTTAAATATGTTAGAGAACAATCAGGTTTGGGTTGATAGTGGCACATTGTATATATACCTGAAGACTACACTATCTCTACTGGGCTCGACGGAGACAGGAAGCCGGCGGCTCGTCCAAGGTCCACTTATTGTTCCTGAACATATGGGTGTACATAACACCAATTTCTCGGTGTATGTACACTGTATATATGCTGTATATACATTGAGAGTTTGCTTCAGTGCTGGACTATGTCCAGGGCTGAAGTATACCTAAAGTATACTGTACTTGCTGGTTGGTCAGTAAGCTGTTGTGGTTCTTACGTTTAATAACCCTCCAGAGACTGATGGGCCCCAACATGTTGTACCACTTTGTACGTGGGTTGGCATGGGGCCAAATGACTAGCGGAGAAATAAATAGTGAATAGGAGGCGGTGGGGCGGGGAGTTTGGCAGAGTTGCAGACGAAAATGATGCTACTATGGAGCTTACTATGCTGGCAGGAGCATAGTAGGCCTGACAAGGACCTATGTCAAGTATGCAATCCTTCACCTCCATGCAGGTCCCGACCCTGACCTTGGAACAGGTGTTGCACAAGTGATCTGCCTCCAGGTGTAGTAGGTCCAGGATGTGAAGACTAGTAATTTGTAGTATACAGTGTTTGGATTAATTCACATTGTAGGTCATTGACGGCTACCGACATTTAAATATTGTGTTGTTTCCATTCACTTGGTTCAGCAGAGATGCGCACCCGGGCTTGAAAAATTACAAGGCCGTTGTCCAACCACCCAAACCATGGCTACTCACTACTGACCTGGTCGGTCGGACAACAGTCGCGTACTTTTGAGGCCAGAGTTCGAATTCTCGATGATTCTAATGAATGAAATGTTACTACCCTCGCCATTGTGACTAGTTTCTTACTGTTGTGTCTTTTTCAGTGTCGAGGCTGCACTGTGAGAGCGAGTCCTTCAAGATGGACCTAATCCTCGATATCAACTCTATGATATACCCGTTGGACTTTGGTGAGTACCTCAACCGTTGTGTCTTGTGTGAGTACCTCAAGGTGTGTGTCTTGTGTGAGTACCTCAAGGTGTGTCTTGTGTGAGTACCTCAAGGTGTGTGTCTTGTGTGAGTACCTCAAGGTGTGTGTCTTGTGTGAGTACCTCAAGGTGTGTGTGTTGTGTGAGTACCTCAAGGTGTGTGTCTTGTGTGAGTACCTCAAGGTGTGTGTGTTGTGTGAGTACCTCAAGGTGTGTGTGTTGTGTGAGTACCTCAAGGTGTGTCTTGTGTGAGTACCTCAAGGTGTGTGTCTTGTGTGAGTACCTCAAGGTGTGTGTCTTGTGTGAGTACCTCAAGGTGTGTGTCTTGTGTGAGTACCTCAAGGTGTGTGTCTTGTGTGAGTACCTCAAGGTGTGTCTGTGTTAGTACCTCAAGGTGTGTGTCTTGTGTTAGTACCTCAAGGTGTGTGTCTTGTGTGAGTACCTCAAGGTGTGTCTTGTGTGAGTACCTCAAGGTGTGTCTTGTGTTAGTACCTCAAGGTGTGTGTCTTGTGTTAGTACCTCAAGGTGTGTGTCTTGTGTTAGTACCTCAAGGTGTGTGTCTTGTGTTAGTACCTCAAGGTGTGTGTCTTGTGTTAGTACCTCAAGGTGTGTGTCTTGTGTGAGTACCTCAAGGTGCGGTGTGTTGTGTGGGTGGTGAAGTAGGGGAGGCAGGTGGGTGTGGCGGTGAGTCAGAAGAGATGGTAAAGCCCAAGTGTAAGAGGCGCAGAATACTTGAAGCATTTCTCACCCATATTCATGGCGCAGTGTGGGCGGCCTCTGGTGACTGTTAGGGTAGGCCCCAGAAGGGCCCTCTCCTAAGGGAGGTCCTCGCCCTCCACCCCTAACTCCAATCACACCAGAGCTTTCACTAAATACGAGGGGTGGGCCTACTGAAGTCTAAATTGGTGTTCATCTAGTTGTGCTTGCGGGGGTTGAGCTCTGCTCTTTCGGCCCGCCTCTCAACTGTCGACAATCAACCCCCCCCCCCCCCGCCACACACACATACACACCTTTAGAAACTTGTGTAAGGAATCTTTCAGAACATTATATACCACATATGTCAGACCAATTCTGGAGTATGCGGCTCCAGCATGGAATCCATACTCCCCAAGCCTGGCCTCGGGCCGGGCTTGGGGAGTAGAAGAACTCCCAGAACCCCATCAACCAGGTACCAGTATTTATAAAGGTGGAGCTGTGCCGTCTTTGGTGAGGTGGCCTCTATGATGAAGACTTGTACCGAGTAGGTGTCATATTTGTGCCGAGTCTGAACCATCCGTAGTTGGTGGTTTGGTCTTAGGATTAAGGTTGTTGTTTTAGATTTAGATATTCAGAACGAAATGTCCATGTAGCACGGGCTATGGTGAGCCCGTAATAGGAATGAGGTAGATTGATTGATTGATAAAGATTAAGCCGCACACAAGAGTTGGCACGGGTATTAATAGCCCGTAAGTGGTAACAAATTTTGTTCAGTAAATCTATTCAGTGTTCTGAGGTCGTATTTAATCGTCAAGCTGCTATCGCGAGGGAGGATACTGCTTGACAGTCTTTATGAGGGTCTCGAGCTGTTGGACACCTTTTTTGACCAGGAGAGTGGCAGTGTTGATGGCTTCAGGGTGGTTACTGCAAGATTCAGGGACTCTTAAAGCTCTTCTAAGGTCGTTGGTTGCTTCACATTCCAGAAGATAGTGAAGTAATGGCTTTTCCGTGACAGTTTGGCAGAAGATGCATTCTCTCTGTCAGGGTTCACCAATCTCCCAGTTGCATCTGTAACTTAGACGTAGTCTATATAACCTAACTGCTATTTCCCTGTGGATTCCTTTTGGTATATTTAACCTTTCTAATATGGTTGCCTGAAGATACCATATTGCAGATGGCGAACCTTGAGCTACTCTCTGGTGTAGATGGGCTTTGTTGAGGTGTGAGAGTTTTTTGGTGATTTTTTTATGTTCTCTAGGCTGGGTTGAATTGTTTTATGTATCACTGGATGACGAGGTGCCAATTTAGCAATTTCATCGGCTTTCTCATTTAATGGGATTCCAAGATAGGATGGGATCCAGTTTAAGGTTATGTTGAGTCCTTTACCTTTAGGGACTGCTCCAAGATACAAAATGGTGGTAATTATTTCCACGTCATCTTTCTACTGTTTTTGTCTTAATATTTGAAGTGCAGCTTTTGTGTCTGTGTATGATTGCATTTTGAGTGTTTTGTGCAATAGGAATGAGGGAGGTATGAGCATTAAGGAAGAGAGAGGTGAGGAGGAAGAAATTACTAAGAGCAAGGCGGCAGCTACGGATGGGATGGATGTAAGAATGGGAACGTAAGAATAAGAAAGGAAGGAAAGGAATTATCAAGGGAAAGCGCCAAGCCATTACGACTATATAGCACTGGGAAGGGGTCAGGATAAGGATTTGGGATGGGACGGGGGAAGGAATGGTAGAGAAAGAAAGAAAAATCTCATTTAATGCAGGTCGGCGTTCAATCCTCGATTGTCCCAAGTGGTTGGGCACTATTCCCATCCTCCATCCCACCCTAATAATTCGCTCCCTCTTCCTCCTTCTTGGTCTTTCCCTGTGCTGTTCTACCTCTCGTTATTTCATCTATATTTGTCATATTCAAGATATACCTTTCTTTAGCCTTCAATATCTCTTGGGTCACCTTATCGTCTCATTAGGAGGTGCCACCTCATTGACAAATACCAGTTTGTGGTCTAATAATTCCATGTCGCTGTGCTGTTGCATATGAACCTAGTCAGTAAACTGCTACCAGGTCTCTCGGCCTCGTACAGGCGTGGTAGTGTAAGGGGCAGTGTGGCAGATCCTCCTTCGGAAGCCTTCATCCTTGCTTTCCTCTGTTGTTTCTGGAAGGCTTAAAATAATCAGTGTGTGTGTTTGTGTTTGTGTGTGTGTTTGTGTTTGTGTGTACTCACCTAGTTGTGTTTGCGGGGGGTGAGCTCTGGCTCTGTGTATGTTTGTGTGTGTTTGTGTGTGTGTTTGTGTGTGTGTGTGTGTTGTGTGTAATGGTGATGCAATGCGTGTTTGCATAGCAGGAGGTTATCGTCCCGCCCCCTGGACCCGCCCACAGGTATTGTCTACCCATTATGCTGTGTTATCTGTTGTGAGGGCCGGCACACTATCTCCCTCGACCCTCCCTCCCTCCTTCTCTTTGTCACCGCATGCAGCCACTCTCCCACGAGGGAGTATACTCCTTTTAGCTAGCGCTCTCCCAGGCAAGTCACCCACCCAGCTCACCTCCTCCCAGGCCGCTCTCTCTCCATGTGACACCCTACAACCTGGTTGATACCTGGTTGATGGGCTTCTGGGAGTTCTTCTACTCCCCAACCCCGGCCTCTGAGAGGGACAATTTATATTGATTAATTTATGACTTAATTCCTCTGACCTTCAGTAGTAGTAGTAGTAGTAGTCAGGGAAAGTAGAAAATTCCAGTTTGACAGTAGGATGATGATTCTGGAAACTTTCCTTATTAGGACTTCTCAATAGCTCGGTCACGCGTAGGGTCCTCAGTTCAAGTCTTCTTGAGCCCAAGTGAATGGAAGAACCCAATGTGTGATAGTCAACAAAATCAAATTCAGACCATCAACCGTGAAGAGCTCAGTCCCCCCAGGGTACTGTGCTTGCTCCAGTACTTTTTCTCATCCTCATATCGGACATAGACAAAGACACAACCTATAGCACTGTATCATCCTTTGTAGATGACACTAGGATTTTTGAGAGTAGACAACTTAGAGGAAACGGCAAATCTCCAATCAGATGTAAATCTGTCTTTCAGTGGAGTACAGAAAATATAGTATTACATGAAGATAAGTTCCAGCTCAGGCGCTACGGAAAAAAATGAAAATGTAAAAGCAGAAACCACGTACAAAACTCAGTCAAATCATAACATAGAACGAAAAAGTAAAGTAAAGGTTTTGGATGTATTCATTTCGGAAAACCTTACCTTTAAAGAACACAATAAAGTATCCGTCACAACTGGAAGAATAATGACAGGTTGGATAACAAGTACCTTTCAAACTAGAGATGCTGTTCCAAGACGCTAGAGCTCTCTAGAGTGGAGTACTGCTGCACAATAACAGCCCCTTTCAAAGCTGGAGAAATTGCTGACCTGGAGAGTGTGCAGAGTACATTTATAGCTAGATTCCACTCGGTAAAATATCTAAACTATTGGAACCGACTAAATTGCCTAAATCTGTATTCTCTTGAGCGCAGGCAGGAGAAATACATAATAATTTACACGTGGAAAATATTAGAGGGGCTGGTCCCAAATCTGCACACATAAATAACACCACATAAGACCAGGAGGTATGGCAGGATGTGCAGAATACCCCCGTTGAAGAGCAGAGGTGCAATAGGTACTCTGAGAGAGAACTCTAGCAACATCAGAGGCCCGAGACTGTTCAATACGCTTCCGCTACACATAATAGACATAACTGGCTGACCCCTCACAGTGTTCAAGCGAGAACTTGATAAACACCTCCAAAGGATACCTGATCAACCAGGCTGTGATTCATACGTCAGGCTGCGAAACAGCCTTGTTGATCAGTCCAGCAAGCAGGAGGCCTGGTCGAGGACCGGGCCGCGAGGACGCTAAGCCCCTGAAATCATCGCAGGGTAACAGCAAAGTAAGGTAGGAGCTCGAACTCACTCACTCACTCACTCACTCACTCACTCACTCACTCACTCACTCACTCACTCACTCACTCACTCACTCACTCACTCTCGATCGATCGTGAGTTCTTCTCCTCTAGTGAGTGAGTTATTCTTCTCCCCAACTGACTCTGAATGCTATACAAACTCCATAAGATGTACGTGTGCGCGCGCGAGTTCACAACGCGCGCACGCGACGGGAGACGTGTCCCGGGTCTTTGTGTTGAGGGGGGCGTG